AAATCATAACTAAATAAACTATAAATTTCATTAACTGTAAGAAGAAAGTTGAATCAGAACATTGTTGATTGTACTCTTGATACAATATACGAGATGATATTTGAGGGAGTGGATGGATGACTCTGCAGACTTGGGTCCTGTTATTGTCTTTTATTGTTTAATAGGAAGATTACAGTCTTGTACAGGCCTATACCTGGGACACGCCTTGCTCAATGAAAGATTTTTATCAATAACACAGAGATGAAAGCTGCATTACAGTTTGTTATCTGGGTAAACCTTTGGCTAAGGATGCAAGAATCCAGTTAAGTAGCCTAACTGCAGTCACTACTTATACTAATAATACTTCGGTTAAAGGAGAGGTGGCCTGATGTTGTAATTATGGTGAAGTCGGCCTATACCTCTGATAGTGGTACTAAGCTTGAATTCCAGATACTGTATACCATTTACAAGGTATGTGGCCTTGGGCAAGTTACTTAAACTCTTAAACCTCTAAGTATCCTCATCTATTAAGTGAGACTAATAACAGAATCTAATTAATAGAGTTGCTTGGGGATGGAGGGAGATAGTTTATGTGCTGAGCTTGTATATTAGTAACAAGCATTTAATAAATATGACCATCCACACATGCAGGCACTCCTACAAACATGAATGGCTCCAGCTTGGTGGATGTAGTGACACATTCTTTTGATAATCTGTATCTACCAAATGATATACTTAGCCCTAGGCCAGTGGTTCTCAACCTTCTGGCCCTTTAAATACAGTTCCTCATGTTGTGACCCAACCATAAAATTATTTTCATTGCTACTTCATAACTGTAATGTTGCTACTGTTATGAATCGTAATGTAAATATCTGATATGCAGGATGGTCTTAGGTGACCCCTGTGAAAGGGTTGTTCGACCGCCAAAAGGGTCGCGACCATAGGTTGAGAACCACTGCCCTAGGCTGTTATTCAATATATTAATCATGTTAGATGTAGTATGTAAAGCAGCTTGAGGGGCAGCTGTGAAGAAAGGTAGACAACAGTTAGTACATCTGTAATAATGACGGCAGTGTATCTTGACCCTTGGTGAAGGCTGTGGAGTGTATGTGAGAAGTCGGGGTAGGCATGCAATTTGTTGAAAGAAAGCAACTTAATATACTCAAAAGGGGGCTGAGGAGGGGCGTCAAAATCTGGCTGAGAGGAAGTATTCGAAGCATCTCAGGAGCATCTAAATCAACAGGTAGACTCCAACAGTGGTTTTTGGGGGATAGTGGAGACAGAGTTGGGGAGAACTAGGAGAGAAAGAGCTAGAAAATTACAGCTGCATGCACTAGTTAAGAGACTACCTTTCCTCTGGATATCTATTTCCCAATGAACACACCCTTGAGGGAGGGATCTGATATAGTGAATGAGGGAAGAGGTGAGTAGGTGAGAGAAGAAAGTTCTCTCTGATTCCACTCACTACCCCCAGGAAGGCTTCCTGACCTGAAGCAGGCTTGTAGGAAAGGGGTTGGTGACTGAGGACAGCACATTATATATTGAATGGACTGTACTGGATTTAGACTGTCTTGCTAAATCATTTTGGACATTTTTGTCATATAATTTAGATTTTTCTTGTCATTGACACAGAACAGAAAATCTATGGGCCCACCCTATATTTCATTCAGGGGCAGAAGAAGAGTTAAGTTCAAAAGCACAGTTTGGAAGGAACAATGGAAGAAAGACTAAAGTTCTTTTTTTATTTATTTTCTTTATCCATTTATTTATTGGCAGATACTTAGGTTCTTTCCATGTCTTGGCCAATGAAACCGGGAGCAGATATCTTTTTGAGTTAGTGGGTTTTGTTTTTGCTATTAAATTTTTTTTCAATTATAGTTTGCATTCAATATGATCCTGTATTAGTTGCAGATGTACAGCATAGTGGTTTACAGAGAGGTCTCCTGCTCTTGCAAATACCCACCTGGCTCCATACATAGTTATTACAATATTATTAACTATATTCCCTAGTGCTATAATTTATATCTCTGTGGTTATTATGGTTTTATTTTTCTTTATTTGTTGACAGTATTACATATGTCCCAGCTGGCTGAATAAGACATTTACCAATCTAATGATTGTATGAATGTCTTGCTTCTTATTTGAAAGTGCACTCTGCACTTTATAAAGATAATCTCATGAGTTAAATTGGTGCGTGTTTTTTATTATTATGACTGCTTTAGTAAAAATTGTCCACACCCAGGGCATAAAGAAAAGTGATAGATTTCAGTGCTGTTTTCTTTTCTTTTTGGAAATAAATGAAGAAAAAAAAAACACCCTCCTTTTTTAGTGGCCTAGTAACTGTAATGAAAACGCCAAGCATTCGTGGCTGAATGAATGCACGAGCAGCAGTTCCTTTACAAGTGAGAGAAAGGAAAGTTCAGTCAAGCATGACTGCCACGGTCTCCTTAATACGCTTGCAAAATGTGCAAGCAGACACCGTGTATTCAGATGGCTAACCCAGATTGAAGGTGAAGTTTTGTGGGTAAGAGTTTCCACAGGAAAAAATATCAAACCATTACACAGGATGCTTCAGAAGCCATGTGGAGAGAAGGAAATGCAAACTTGAGAGTTGGGTCTTTGAAGGGCTGTGCACCTGCTGTGCAGCGTTACTGAGGTGGTATGTCATATTTTACACATAGGAAATGATCAAATGGCAGATGGATATCTTTTCTAAAAATGTGTTTTAAAAAAATGGAGAATACTATCTTTCCAGACAGAGACAGGCTATATGGAACTTTGTTTTTCTCTAAAGTAAGAACAGACATTGATGGCATAGAAGTTACTAGTACAATGTACAAACGACCTGAAGTCAATGATGACTGAACTTTTAAATCATGTGTCCATTTCTGTAATTCTTAGATAGAGAGAGATTAACTTGGTTAGTATCTTCATTCTCAAAATCTACTGAAACTTTTTCACCAAGTGCTGGGATATTCTTATCTTCTATTCCCCTTCCGGTGGTTCTCAACCTTCCTAATGCCGCGACCCTTTAATACAGTTCCTCATGTTGTGGTGACCCCCAACCATAAAATTATTTTTGTTGCTATTTCATAACTGTAATTTTGCTACTGTTATGAATCATAATGTAAATATCTGATATGCAGGATGTATTTTCAGGGGTCGCGACCCACAGGTTGAGAACCGCTGCATCTATTTTAATTACCTGCTTTAGGGGAAAATTATTGAATTTGTTTACATAACACAAAAGAGGTACTTCATAGTTAAATTTCCCCTAATATTGGAATTCTACAGTAGAAACTGGAATGATGAATTGACTTTGTTGTCCATTTATTTCCTAAACATAGAGGTATCAAATGACAAATACCAGATAATTTTTATAAATCACTCAAAAAACGGGGAGTTAGTCATATCTATTATTTGTAAGTCATAGTCTACAAATGCACATGCCCTGAAATTTTTACTGATTAGACTGTAGAATCTTTCGGACAGGTACAACAGAGAGTGATTAAAAGGATGATCCCTGGCATCATATATATGTTCCATCAAGTAGTAACATTTGCAATTTAACCTCTCTGCATCTTAAGTTATTCAGTTGATATATAGGCATACTAATAATAATGCCTTCCATCAAGAGTTTTTTTGAAGACTATATAAGATAAGAAAATAGTTATGTTCTTCTCTGCTTTAGTCCCTTTGATGACTTCCCATTCCCTTCTGATAAAATCCCCAAACCTCAGAACGGCCTATAAGGCCTTACATAATGTACCTGCCTGTCCCTCCAGCTTAATCTTGTTCTATTCTATTCACTACCCAGCTGATAGACTTTCTTTCAGTTCCTCCAAAACAAATGATCTTTACAAATGCTCTTCTTTGCCTGGAATATATCTCTATTCACCCCCCCCTCCCCCCACACACACAGCACATGCAGCTGACTCCCAGTAGCCTTTCCTTCCCAGTTTAAACGTCACTTGTCACTTGTTTAAAGAGGACTCCTTTGATTTATCCATTAAAAACCATTCCTTCCCCTATTATTCTCAGGCATAAAATCGTGTTCATTCCTAATAAAACAAATGTTAGGTACCTTGTTTGAAATGAATGGAAAGATAGGAATCAAGCAGATGAAGAAGGAATTATTACTTTTATTACCTCTAGACAAATGTCAGACTATGTAAGCCATGGATAGATTTAAACTTCCCATAGGTTTACAGCTCGGAAGAGCAACACAGAACGTGTGTGTTGCAAGAATGAGGGAATGAAAGAGCAGGGCTCATGGGCCAGTTTCTCCTTCCAAATGCACTAAATAAACAAGTTACCATAGTATCACACAGGACAGTGAGTGTGTGTGTGTGTGTGTGTGTGTGTGTGGTGGGGGGTGGGAGTGGAGACGGGCAAAGAGAGATCAGGAGGGGTTAGAAAATCCTTCTACATGAAGTAAAGATTGGGAGTAGGGGGAAAACATTTTCTCCATTCCAAATTAAATTGTATAAATTTGAACCCTATACAATAACCATTTTTGAAGTTAATATCAGCAAATTCAAATTGTTTAAACATAACCATGCATGCATATGGTTTATGCACATGAAATATATAGATATGTTTGCATATATAGAAATATTATATTGTGTATGTAATATATGTGTCAATGTAGATGAACTTTATACATATAGTATGCAGGCATACCTCGTTTTGTTGTGCTTCATTTTATGCACATTATAGGCATTTTGCTTTTTACCAACAAAAGGCAAGACCCTCCACCAACAAAAAGAGTACAACTCACTATATTTTGACACTTTATTATGGTGGTCTGAAGCAGAATTTGCAGTATCTCTGAGATATGCCTGTACTCTACTATACATTATATGTACATGTCATACATATATCTGCGTGATTATTATTATACTAGTGGCTCGGTGCATGGATTTGTGCACATTGAAAGGAAAATAATTAAAATAAATATTTTAATATTGCTATTTGCCCTTTCTCCTTCAGCACCTGGGAGCTGGGTGGTGGCTCCATCTCCCACCACTGCCACCGCTGTTTGCTGTCTGTGGGGAGAGAGATAGAAATATCAATGATGAGAGAGAATCATTGATTGCCTCCTGCATGGCTCCTACTGGGGATGGAGCCCACAACCCAGACATGTGCCTTGACCAGGAATTGAACCATGACTTCCTTGTTCATAGGTCAAGGCTCAACCACTGAGTGCACCAGCTGGGCTTGCCTTATTTTAAGAACTCAATAGATACTAGCTATTGTGATGATTACACTGCCACTACTTCTGCTGAGAAAACATCCTTAATATTTGTATATTAATTTTTGATCTGGGCTGTGTAAGTTCCATTTCACAAGTCCATAACCTTGCTTCAAGATTCCCTCATATAGTTTATCTTTCACGGAGCATATTTTCAGGTAACGTCCCATAGTTGCAACCTCCACAGATCCTAAGGCATAACCTCAAGGAGAATAGGGTGAGTAGCAACTATGGCAAACTTGAAAGTGTACATCCTGTCCAAAAAGGGCAGCCAGTTTTCCAATCCCTTCAAACTTGCTTTGTGAAAATGTGATGTTAGTGCTGTCAGATATTGATTTTTTTCAAGAGAAGCTGGAAATCCACATCTATATATATAAAAGCCTAAGTGACCTACCAACCGAATGACGGGAATGACCAGAACGACCTGTCGCTATGATACGCACTGACCAGCAGGGAGCAGATGCTCAACGCAGGAGCTGCCCCTGGTGGTCAGTGTGCTCCCGCTCAGCTGACCAACCCATCCCGGTGGCCCTCCAGCCCAGCAACAGCCACTCACTTCCTCCGTAGTCCTGCAGGTCCAATCTCCAGAGAATGGGCCAGGCACCAAAAGACTAGCACCACCGGCCTCCTGAAAGTTGGCCTCAGGCACCATGGTCGCTTCCCTTCCCTAGATGCTCTGCAAGGAAGAAACAATATAAAAGTGGCCACCAGGTAGCTACGACAACCAGTGTGAATGTCAGCAGGATAGATCTGGATCCCTGGCTGGTAAGGGCATCTGACAGCCTGCCTGGAGGGCCAATCATGTCCTGGCTCCCCCTACCACCATCAGGACCCCACCCATGCACGAATTTGTGCAACAGGCCTCTAGTTTTAGTATAAAATCTTCTAAATTGGGGAAAGTAATTAAAAAATTGCTAAACTCTATGTGGTTTGAAAGATACTTGTACTTCATACTGCCCAGGGGCAGCTAGTTGGTGACCTCTGCTTTTATGGCAGTTGTCTGTGGTATGGGATTTCATCAATCCTTTGTTATTCTTTATTTACCTTTAACATAGATATTAGTCTGTGCTTTTCAAATTAGTTTTTTAAAAGTTGAATTTAATTGCTTTGCAGGAGATCTATTTCTAGCTGTTTTTTTGCATTCCAACCTCTCTATCTTCTGCTTCTCTAAATCCCTAACTCTTTATTTTCTTAATGTCAGAAGAGTTTTCAGGTATATTACGTTATAAGGGCAGAATTTTTAGCAAAAAGGAGAAAAAAAAAGAGCCGAACAGTATTTTCAAGTACAACACAAATAAATAGAATTTTGTGATGTGTTTGGTAAACTCAATTTTGGAAATATCTGAGAAAAGTGGACACAAAAAGTGGAGGCAATTATTTTACACTCAGTTGATATATTTCATCTATAAACCCATTGGGCAATAGTTCCACTTTCTCTTAAAATGATTTTTCCTTAAATCATAGAAAAACAAGATTAGCTTTTTATGTTAGCAGTGGTAGAAACTACTGGATGTCAAATTTCAGATACATGAACATATTGCAAACTATGAGAAAAAAGTACCACTGTGGCCTAAACTGTGTCATAACACTATTCACTTAGAATTTTTATTATATATTAACTAGAGGCCTGTTGCACGAAGAGATTCGTGCAATAGGCCTTCCCTCCCCTTGGCTGCTGGTACCAGTTTTCCTCTGGCACCCGGGACCCAGGCCTTTGCTCTGGCTGGGCTCCGGCCAGAGCCCCCGCCCCAGCCGTCAGGCTTCGCTGCTCTGCTGATCCCGGGGCCAGGGGGCCTCGCTGCTCAGCCGGCTTTGGGGCCGTTTGGCTTCGCTCCACCGCTTGGAGCCTATGTATGCAAATTAACCGCCATCTTTGTTGGCGGTTAATTTGCATATTGCCCTGATTAGCCAATGGGAAGTGTAGCATAGGTACGGTCAATTACCCTTTTGTCTTTTATTAGATAGGATGAAAATGCTTTGAGAATTAGACATAGATTTTTCTCACCAAATATCATATTGTTCTGTTTCCTTGCCTTTCTTCAAAAACCTAGTATAACAATTTTGAGGACATTTCAAATGATAATTAAATTCAACATGCATATCACTGTCAATGCAAGTAACTTAAGTGAAGTGACTTGATCAACATCTGTGACCAAGTTCATGAGCATGTAAGACAATCACAACTATGTCAGGACTGCTGCCTGGACAACAGCAATTCTCTTTAAGATAAATCACCATTTCAGAAGAAGTAAAGTCTAAAAATATGTGTTTCAACATCAATGAAATATTCTAATCTCTAGTGCCTATGTGGTTTCTGAAATATTAGTTTTATAGGAAAACTTAAGTTCACTTTTTTTTTCTGAATATCACTTAATGCTTTCTGAAAAACTTGTATTTTAAAATAAATTAATTCCAGAACATCACCAAATTTTAGTCAGTAATTCAGTTGATGGAATATTTTATACTGCTCCTTTGTCTGCTTCACAGCAGACTTTCACTAAGCTGTTTCCTTGTGGTGAAAAAGAGTTAAAGAGGAAAATCTTTCAAAGCAACTCTTAAAACTTATAACAGAGTACCAAAAGGAGTCACCCTAATGAATATAAGTATTTCAACTTAATAAAACAAACATTTATCTAAGGCCTTATGATAGATACTTCAGAAAATTAAAATAGTAATAAAGATTCCAAGTACCCATAATGCAAGGCAAACTGATCAGAGTACTCCAATAGAGGTAATGGTATACAAATAGTAATAAGGAAATATTCTCAATATCCACAATGCAAAGCCCACTGACAAGCCGAATAACAGTAAAGTCAAAGGACAATGGGAAAATCCAAGAGAGAGTATAATATGTGCCTGAACATAAAGCACATACATCATTTCACCCCAAAATTAGGCATTAGAAAAGCGGTCCTTGTGGGCAAAACATCAGATCTTCTCAGAGGCATCACCGCAGAATGCTTAAGGCATAGACTATTAATCCACCTTATCTGGGTTCAAATCTGATGTCTTGGTTCTTTACTGGCTAAGAAAGGATGTAATGATTATTCCTACTTCCCAGCCCTGTTGAGAGGATTAAGAGTTCATCCTGTGTAACTATACTTGATACACAAAATCTACATCACAGGATATCTACCTGTCTTCAGGGTTGGGGAGGTAGTATGAAATATACTTAGTCCTAGTGTAGGATCCATACAGAGGTCATCTGACAAAATTGGTTTAAAATACAAGAAGGCAAAGCTATTTAAAACAGATTAAGTAATAATTATTGGGGTATCACCCACAATTTTAAGTGTTCCATATTAGTGCAAGCCTTCTCTCTCTCTCTCTCTCTATCTCTCTCTATTTCTATCTCTCTCTTGTTAATCCTAACTGGAGAATATTTTTGCCATTGCTTTTCAGAGAGAGTGGAAAGGTGAGAGGGAGTGGGACAGAGACAGAGGAGAGAGAGAGAGAGAAACATCATTGTACACATTATTGATTGGTTGCTTCCCACATGCTTTCCTACCGGGTAGGAATCAAACCTGTAACTCAGGTATGTGCTCTTTACTGTGAATCGAACCTGAGACCCTTCAGTGTGCAGGTCGATGCTCTATCTGTAGTAGGCAGTTAGATAGACACGAGCAGAGCAAAGAGAATGGGCCAGGTACAGAGGTCACTAGGCAGAACATCCCAGACACCTAGCAATGAAAAAACCCCGGTAGAGCAGATATTGGACATATTCATTTCAAGACCTTGAACCTAGAACTTCTCTCCACCCTAGAATGCCTCTGGTCATCGAGGTGGGATTCTCCTGACCTTTCTCCTCTGGCATGTGGTTAGTCACGTGGTAGACCATCCTCCTTAGAGGAGAACATAGGGGCTGGAGGAAAGCCCCATCTAACTTCCATGCAAAAAGAGAAGACAACAGCACAGGCCCTGATAGGTCAGTCTGAAGAAGAAAGCAGTTAACTCCCTTCTAAGGGTTTAATAGGAATCCTAGCCCACTCCCCAGGGCAACTCTTTGAGCTGTCAGCTTGAAATTTCTCTTCGAGTGTACTTTCTCTTTACTTGCTCAAAAGATTTTCTCTAGTGAGTTTGAGTCTTGATTGAATTATTTTCTTAGCCAGAACTCAAGTACCAAGGTTGCTGAACTCAGGTTTGGTCTGATCCCACTGGTCTGACACTGGTGCCGTTCCTGCTGCCTACAACATATCCACTAAGCCACGCTGGCCAGGACAGTGCAAGCATTCTTTTAAAAATCATTCAAAAGCTGACCAGTATAGTTCGACCTATGAACCAGGAGGTCACAGTTCGATACCTGGTCAGGGCACATGCCCAGGTTGCAGGCTCATTCCCCAGTAGGGGGCGTGCAGAAGGCTGCTGATCAATGATTCTCTCTCATCATTGATGTTTCTATCTCTCTATCCTTTTCTCTTCCTCTCTGAAAGCAATACAAATATATTTTAAAAATCATTCAACAATCCAAAAACTGGTGGAGATAACTCATTTACATATTTAGGGTGAATGAGAAAAAAACAACTTCTTAATATGAAGCAAGTGGAAACACGGTTTGTAATAAAATTCCCAGTGACAGAATCATAAAAGGATTCAGGAAGTTATAGTGTCAAAAATATAGACAGATGTGAAGAAAATATGCTCTGAAAAAAACCCACTGATGATTCAAAATGTGGCTTTCATGATGAAGTCATTGATGTCAAGTTGCATGTTATAATTTGAATAAAACTTTAAAAAGTATAAATGGAAAAGGCAGTATTTATACATTAATGCATAATTTTACTTTTATATTTGTTTATCTAAAATGACAAATTAAGTATTAAGTAAATAATTAGATAAGTAGACATGACTATTTTCTCTATCTCCCTAAAATTTTATATTTGGCAAAAATAATAGTAGGCTTTCTTTTTGAGAACAATGAAGAGATTACTTTAAATTCTGTTGTGTAAATAATTCTGGGTATCAGTGATTCAGAAAGGCTTGAGAGGGAGGTGGGATTTGAACCTGTCTTGAAGAATCACTGGAGAAAAGAGAAGTAAATATATTAAGGGACTTCTATTTTCTAGGGCCTTAGATATGTAATCATATTGAATTCTCATAGATATTATTATTCCCACTTTACAGATGGGGAAATTGAGGCTCAGAGAAATTAATGAGTTTGCTCCAAATGCCACAACCCACACAATTAACTTTCAATTCCAGCACTGGGCTTTCCCTGAGAGGCAATCTCCAGCAGAGTGTGTATCTAGAAGACTATGTTGGACTTCTCTCTCCCTTACCGTCCTAATTGGTGTAAATTGCTCAACCTCTCTTAAGTTTCTTATCACAGGGATAATAACATCTTCTCTTCAAGGAGCTGTTGAGATAATTAAATGAGCTTTTACAAGTAAAGTGCTGGGAATAGCAACTGGCTCTTAAATGCTCTGTGGGTGTTAGCTTCCATGATGCAAGGAAAAGGTTAAGGAGGAAAAGGAGGGAGAGGAGGAGAGAAGCAGGAGGACTTTCAATCTCTCAGTTCCCCTCTTTCAGAAGCACAGGGCATTCTGGGTAGGAGGGGTGGGAGGAGCATAGATGCCAAGTCTGGCCAGGACAGAGGTCTGCCTGCTTCTTACTCAAAATGGAGGAGCCGGTGGGAGTGGGCATTTTGGGATAAATCCAGCTTAGATGAAGACTGCTGGGTATACATACTCCAATGGCCTTGGCAGTAAACAGATTTTCATACCTCAATTCTTAAATTAATTTTCCTATTTTGTTCCCTGAATGCCCCACTATGAAGGCTGCTACATAAATAATTTACAGCCTAGTTGTGTTCAATTTATCTACTGTTTATTATTTAACCTCTTTAAGTTTCAATTAAGCCTATATTTATAAAATTGGGAAAAAATTTCCAACTCATAGAGTTGTTGTAGACATACGACATAACATATATGTTAGATATTTGCCTAGAATCTGGTACTATTAATAAAAGGTTGTTTTGCCACATTTCCTTTGCCTTTTATTTTCCTCCATACACTAAGGTTCTTTTTTTAAAAATGTCTGTGGACAATTGGACTCTTTAAAAAATGTTTTCATTGATTTTAGAGCTAGTAAGGGAGAAGGATAGAGGTATACATACAACATAACATATATGTTAGATATTTGCCTAGAATCTGGTACTATTAATAAAAGGTTGTTTTGCCACATTTCCTTTGCCTTTTATTTTCCTCCATACACTAAGGTTCTTTTTTTAAAAATGTCTGTGGACAATTGGACTCTTTAAAAAATGTTTTCATTGATTTTAGAGCTAGTAAGGGAGAAGGATAGAGGTAGAAACATCAATCGGTTGCCTCCTGCACGCCCCCTACTGGGGATTGAGCCCGCGACCTATCAATGTACCCTGACCAGGAATTGAGCTGACCTGTTGGTTCATGGGTCCACTCTCAAAACACTGAGCCATACGGGCTGGGCATACTTAAAACCAGAATACATCTTATAACCAATGTATACATTCATTAGGGGAGCTTTTTTTCTTTTTTCACTTCCCGGAGCTATTATTAAATCATCAGTGTGCCTCACACAGCTCTGAACTTTATTTCCCCTCAGAGAAGACTAAATCCAGAGGCTGTATTGTATGTACTAAGCACTGTATTCTCAAACTATTAAAAAGTAAGTGCTCAATAAATTTTTTAAACAATAAATGACTGAATGATAACCAAGGAACTAAGATATTGTTACAAAGAGGCACAAAGTCCAAATTAGTCTACAAAATTTACTAAGAGAAGTAACTTGATCACACAATGCTTGATATTCTGAGACATATAACTGATGTAAGAGTTTTTGTTTATTTATAACCCACCGTATTCAAAAAGGGATGTAAGATGGCTCACACAGATAAAAATAAATGAAAAAGTATGTGAGAACTCTGAGAGGGAGAGAAAAAAAAGACCCAAAACAAAACAAAAAAAAAACAAAAACAAAGACAAGGGTATGGACTTAAAATGAATATGGGCTTAAAATGAAGTCAGGAAAGAGCAAATAAATAAAATTCTACAGGAATCCAAAGAAAAGAGAATTCCTGAGGTTTAGAAAATGTCAAGAAAACTTCCCTGGTGGAACTAGGATTTGCTCTGAAGTACTGGTTAAACACAGCCTTTCCCCCACCCCGCCTCGCTTGGTGCCAGCCCTTTCAGAGCCTGGGGAGCAGGAATTTTGATGAAGATGAGCCTCCCCAGGGCCTGGGCTCCTGGGAAGCCTTCCACATGCTGGATCTCACCAATTATCTCATTTTCATAATAAGTTCACCGCTTTCCCTAATGGCTCCACTTCCAACAACAGGTACCGGGGAAAGATCAGGACACTGCATCTTTTATGGGAGATAAATTCAGGTCAGTCTGTGAAGAGATGATTATTTTAAAAATAAAGCCCAGCCAGTGTGGCTCAGTGGTTGAGCCTCCACCTATGAACCAGGAGGTCACTGTTGGATTCCTGGTCAGGGCACCTGCCTGGTTACCAAGCCCATCCCCCCATCCCCAGTGTAGGGTGTGCAGGAGACAGCCAATCAATGATTCTCTCTCATCAGTGATATTTCTCTATCCCTCTCTCTCTCCCCCTTCCTCTCTGAAGTCAATAAAAATATAATAACAAATAAATAAATAAAAATAAGGAGTTGGCCTTTGAACTCAAGGCAAATAAGTGGATTTTAGAAACTCAGGTACAGGGGGTGGGGGTGGGGAGCACAGATTTTTTGTTGTGTTTGTTTTTGACCCTTTATTTGCTTTTGCTGCCTCCTTATGATCACTTCAAGAGCTATAACAATCTCAGGTGTGGGCAGGACTGGGGCATGGTGGTCTCTCCTCTCCAGCGCAAAAGTGAAGAAAGGGGAATTTAGAATTCAGAGGCTCTGTTTCTCAGGGGAGAGCGTTTCAATCTAAATTGAAAACCACATTCAGTCTGTAATGCTCTGTCTGCTCTGGCAAGTTGCTCTGCGTTCTCAGACTCACTCACCAGAAAATGGGGATCATCACCCCTTCCTTGCAGGGCTGACTTGCAGGAGAATCCTATGTAATGGGCTCGGCTTACTCGTTGGCACGGGGCGTGGTGAACAGATCCCGGGGCCCACGGAATGCACCTTGACTGGGAGCAGCCTGGGAAAGTGAGCGCCTTAGGTGAGTCTCAAGTTCGGGAAACGCTGAGGCCACCTGGCAAGGGCAGGAACACGAATGATCAGGGGTGGGGAGGTGCCGCCCCGCTGCCAAGCCACCCCCAGCAGGGCGTCTGCAGACACCCACCGGCTGGCAGGAGCGGGGGAGCGGTCCCGGGCATCCTCCTCCCGGG